TAAAATAATTAGGGACAATATTCTGAATTGTTTTGCATTATTTTATACTGATATATTAACAAACTAGACCAATGTTAAACAAAGAAATGTTTGTACAAAAGCTATACTCAAACTAGATAGGGAATATATGTTGGATTTATAGTGTTATTTACCAGGTAGGACATTTCTAAAATCTACCTAATTTATAATGTTATTAAAAGATATTTCTCTTAAAACTTCTTTCTTATTTATAACCTCAAAAACTCCAAAGCCCTTCTATGAAGAAATTATTCCAGTTCTGCCTAGCGAAACACTTTCTGAGTTTTAAATTATGCCACTCTAATTCTGTCTCAGAGATTCTGAGGTGTATGAATTTATATGGGAAGCCTGCACGGTCAGGAGGATGAAGTACTTAAAGCAGTAATCCCACCGGAGTTAGAAGTGATACAAGGCAGGCAAGACTCCGTTCTCAGATGACAGAACTGAGATAGTTCATTATTATACTGAGAGCGAATATTTCTGCATATTTTTTCCTTATGGAAAGTAAAATTGTATTAACAGGCTCTAGCAGCCTTATCTCTAAAATATGTGACAAGTGTTTTTAGCTAATATATTTGCTATAAAAATTACAAAATATATGATATACATATATATATATATATATATATATATATATATATATATATATTTCTTGTCAACATATTCATTATTATATTTCAGGCCTTGTCCTATGAGATAATTAGTAATAAAATACACAAATCAAGAATAAGAAAATTTTATATACTGCTTACCAGTAGCACAACAAGAACAAACAACATAAAATACAATAGGTCAGTAAAATTTATTAAAAAACAAAAGATATATATGTTGTGCCTAAGTATTTCAATATATTTAACTTAACATAATAAAAATTCTACCATTCAAAATGAAATTATAAACTAAGCATACAATATCACTTTGGATTCTATTGTTATACATTACTTTAAATTTGGTTCGCTACTTTTGCCTTCACTTACCAATATTTTCAAAATTTCAAGTATGCTTTTTGTTCTCAATGTAACTGAGTCTGCCAGGCTTCACATGCAATCCAATGCACAAAATCAGGTATGACCAATACTGTATGAGAATGGTTATTTTGAACAATCCAAGCCAGTGGCATGCAAATCTGTACTTGCTTTCATTTAAGAGAAACTGTCTCTCTCTACTGGATGTGTTGAAAAAATGAACATCTGCTTTGGCTGTTGCTGAGACTTTGAGAAAATGAAAATGATATCTGAGAAATTAAAGTCCTAGAAACTGAGAGCTGCAGACAGTCTAATGATATGGATAAATGCAGAAGAAATGGTCTTTGGCAGCTCTGTTTGAAGTCCCACCCTAATGTATCAGAAATTTCCACCCACTACATTCTAACAACATAAACCAGTCACCATTACTTTTCTGAAGCCACGTTGCTTTGTGAGTCTCTCACTGGCAAACAGTAATTTTCAGTTAATAGTCTTTCATGTGTATTGTGCTCATGTATCTAATTACATCAATTAATTTTGAAAATAATGGCATGTGGTATACAGGGCATATATTGTGAATCGATAGATAACTTCACAGGCTAAAAGGTGAAATGCTTGATAGAAAATATCTGACTAGCTTGCTTGGAATCACAACTGAGGATTCGTATTAGCAAAACATAGTACTCATGCCTTCTGCATCAGCTCAGCTCTTACAAATACAATAAAAAATTTAGTGAATTAATAGCAGTTGCACTACAGATATGTTATAATGAAGGAAAGCTGAGATTAGAAAAATTATGAGGCTTTATGTAAATGAGATTAGATATATGATTTAAACAGAGAAAAAGCTGGTCGCTATTTTGCTTTTGATACAACTGAAGATTCTTGTAAGACACCTAGAGAGATGCTGCCACAGAACCTTTTTAGTTTTAAATTCTTTAATCTTTTTTACAGTCCAGATTTTATTACACTCCTAGGCCACCCTCTGACTGTTCTACATTCCACAGCTCCTTCGTCCATCTCCAAGACGATGTCTCTACTCATCCCCACCCCAACAGACCATCCCACACCCTGGGGCCTGAAGTTTCTCAGGGGTTAGGTGTATCTTCTCTGACTGAGTCCCGACCAGGCAGTTCTCTGCTGTATATGTGTTAGGGGCCACATATCACCTAGTGTATGCTGCCTGGTTGGTACAGCAGCTTTAGGCATTAGACATATATATACAAGGTCATCCATAATGGTAATAGGTGATATTGAGGCAGGGACATAAAAACGATCTTCTTCTGGAGTAATAAATTCACACCTTCACAGTGAGGGTCAAGGTGTCACCATAATTAACAGATGGAGAAATGGAAGCATGAACAGATAATGTCCAAAAGCCAAACAGACTTGACCAGTCTTATGACACAAAAAGCAAATTTTACACCAATAAAATTTATGTGAGTCAATAATATAGTTGGCAGAAAGTATTTAAATGGTAATGTGGATCCTAAGACAACAGAGGAATCTCAGGCAGAACAGAAAGTAAAGGGTGTTACTGTTACCTAATAACACACACACACACACACACACACACACACACACACATGAATTTGAAATAAGGCTGTTTGTGCAGCAACTAAAGACTATTACAGAGGAAGGATAAGCGTGTTATTAACTCTATTAATCAATTTTTTTCTAAGTCCTTGAAAAATCTAAAAAGTTTAAGATCCAAGTTAAAACTATATGGAGACTTAGGTAAACTCACAAACACACTGCACAAGAATGTATTTGAGCTTCCAAATGTAACTTCCTGGGCAAATATGAGATGTAATTTTCTTTTTATTAGACAAAGGATGACTATTGGATCCTAAAACTTAAACTCCATTAGGAGCAGCTAAATGATTTTCACTTTCAGATTGCATTAACACTGAATTGCAATCACCACATTCTGAATTGCATGGTATTTCTTTCCTCTATAATGAGAATATTAATAGTGAATATCTTCAAGCAATCAAATACATGCATTGCTCCATTTGATTCAGTATTATTGAATGCAACATTAAGAGATTTTCCTAATTGATTTCACAAAGATTATCAAATAGGATCATGTTGTAGGAAACTACTTTGGGAGCATATCATCAGGTAGAAAGATAGGCTAAAGATAAGCAAACACAAGCCAGGGAAAGGAGCAGTTCTCTTTAGGATGTGCCGAGACTCCTTCCCTCATGAATATGACGGGTTACTAATAAACAAAGGCAACATGCACATCATATATCGCACACCATCACATATAGTGCTACAAATCATCATATGTAACATATCACCACATATCACATATCAGTACATATCACACATCACCTGTCACATTACCACATGTCACATATCACTACATATCACACATCACATGTCACACATCACATGTCACACATCACATGTCACACAATACCACATATCACTACGTATCACACATCACATGTTACATATTACCACATATCACATAACATCTTATAGCACACATCAATGCATATCACATGTATTACATAGCACCACATATCATTTAACACCATATATCACACAGAATGTCATCATGTATTATCATGTAGTATATGGATTGACCTATCATATAGAACTACATATTATACATCAACACATATCACATACCAACATATATCATGCATCAGAACATATCTGTCCATTTCACTAGCACCTCAGAGCACCATGTATTATACATCACCACATACCACCTTGTATTCCATACCATCAAGTCACATAACACATAGCATCACAGATCTTATGTCATCACACATTACATATTTCATGAGCACATACAATTATTGCCTGCATCACATAGTCACATATTACAATATATATCACGTCACATGTTCATCAGAGACAATATATCTAGCATAGCCTTATGTTCTCTAGAAAATCAGCAACAAAATTTCCCTTTTATTGATTGAATATTTTATCACAAATGGCTGTGATTTAATGTTTATGACTATGCATATTTGTTATCATGACTTTAATCATATTTAGGCATTATGAGAATAAAAGTCTTTCATTTAATTAATGTAAAGAACCAAGTTTAACTGTCAGTGAGTGCCAGTATTGTTTTTACTTAAACAATATATATATATATATATATATATATATATATATATATATATATATACTATAATTGTATGATTATACTCTTTAAATATTCTCTTTGAGCATGTACATATATTTGGAAAAATGTGTGCCTATATTATTACTTTCTACCTTGACAATTTTTCACAAAATGAATGTGTCCATGACAACCAGAATACAGATCAAGGGAGGCAACAAAACCAATAGTTAGCAAACCTCTGTACTTCTTACTAGGCAATATCATGTGCCACAGCAAACTTCAATAGTGTAATGTTTTAGCATATGATAATTTACTTAAATTTATAAATCAGTAACTTGCACTCATTGTAAAATCAAGCCAACTTTAAACTAAGTTTATACTAAGAACTGACTTTAGAGGTGAAGAGAGGCCTCAGTAGTTCAAGTGCCTTCTCCTCTTCTAGAGGACCTAGGCTCATTTTCCAGCACCTATGTCTACAGCTGACAATCACTAGGCGATCAAATACTCCCTTTCTGTCTCTGTAGGCACCTATTCAAAAACACACATACACAAATAGACACACACACATTTACAAAGAAAATGAATAAACAAACAAAAATACAAACTGATCCCCTTTTAAACTACAACCCTGCTACTCTGAAATAACTGATCCGGGATCATTGTGCATATGCACACAATGTTAATTTCTCAGCTTGTTGACCCATGGACTAAAACAGGACGTCAAAATAAAACTTAAATGACACAGGTCAGACACCAAAGCAGTAGATAGTAGTGATTTGTTGAAAAGAAGTAATTTTGAACAAACTAAATTTCTCCACATCCATACTCTGCCACTTCCATCATTTGCGAGAATACCTGGCAAGCTCTCTCTGCTTGGAGGCACTTGGACGAAATCCCACCACCTGGAACCTTAAATGACAACTTACTCTTTGGAAAGCTGGGGACATTTTGGTTCTTCTAGCGCATTCATTTCTTTTGCTGGGTCCATTGGGCTAAGAAGGACGGCTGCACAGGATGTTACAGAGTGGCAGGAATCTTCCCGGCAAACTGCAATTTGAAAACAATTAGTTGTAAATGTTAAAAATCACACAGTGCCTGTTCTTATCTTCCTCATTTCACTTTTATATTTTCAAGTCAAGGTCAGGAAGAATTTCAACAAAAACATCAATTAATATTAAATCACCCTTAGTTTTCTTTACAAGCTATTTTCCTCTAGCTAACTGTCCAATCCTGGGCAATTTTACTTAGCTTCATAGCCACAGTGGGAAAAAAGTATTCTAACATTTAGCATCTGAAAAACAAGTTATTTGTCAAATGGTAGATAAGAACTGTATGCCAAGACACATGTAATTCATGAATCTCCAGAAGGAAAGTCCAGTTGCTTCATCAAGGCCAAGATCAATGCCTACAATCCTGTGATCTCCTTCTTGTCCTTCTACAGACATCAAACGCATCTGCTCTTAGCATAATGTTACCACAAAGCAGCTTGCAAGGCTGACTTTTCTACATTTGGGTCATAAATCTTATTATCATTCTTAAAAGGATGGCTTACTTCATTCCATGTTCACTTGTAAGAATCATCTACAAAATGTACTGTTAGCTTATTGTGGTGGCAGTGTAGCTTTCCTTTGGACAAAGAAATAAACTGATTTTATCATTCAATTATAATAGACATAAGTTATTTCCAGTTTGAGGGTATTTCTATTAGCTATAAATATCCTTGTACTTTTTTGGGCTAGTTTCACATAGAGATTTGGTCTAGAAACACATCTAGAGGTTATACTGTTCTTAGGATATACCTATGATTGAATTCTGCATGCTAGATACCAGTTAACAGTTTTCTTTTCTTTACTTTCCCCAAACAAATATTTCAATGGCTTCACATCCATAAAACATTTGATTTTATGCTTGCCCATTAATTTTCATAGCATATTAATAATAAATCACTGTATAACAAATCCACATAAACTTTGTTTCAAACAATACTCACTGTTTTCTCAAAATTCTAGGTGCACTCAACAAACTTCTCCTTTTCTAATCACAAAATGCAAACATTAATGTGTTAGTTTGGCTGCACTCCCATCAAAAGTTTCTGTGAGCCAAGCATTGTGGCCTAGGGAGAAGTTTAAGTAAGATGGCATTGTAGTTACTATTTCCTATACCTCATCTTGAAATGCATTCAATAACCAGTTTTTCTATTTTTTTAAATCTCTGTGTGAAAATAATCCACTACAAATTAATCTAGGCTTATGTTGGCATTGCTTGTAATTTCGACAAGATCTGCAACCCTGTAGGAGGCAAGCCTTCTGACCATGTCTGTTAGGAACTGCATTTATCAGGTTAACTAAGGTCAAAGACCCAATCTGGGTATGAGTAGCACCATTCCATGACTGGAGATTTGGACTTTGTGCACAGGAGAAAGTGAGTTGAACACAGACGTTTGTCCATCTCTTTCTGCTTCCTGGTTTTGTATACAGAATGACATCTGGCTCCAGCTGCTGTGACTGCTCTTGCTGTGGTAGACTGCACCAAGATCTTTGGAGCTAAATAAAACTTTTCTTCCTGAAACTGACATTGCCAGGTTATTTCCTCACAATAACCAGACAAGGTTGTTATGGAAATTTGCTTCCTTGCTGTGAGAGAAAACCAAGGCTCCAGTTTCCAAGAATGGTCATGTGCCATCTTAAAATTTTCATACAGTTATTCAGGTAAGAATGCAGTAACATTAGTTGTTTAACCTATATATTCCTCGTAACTAAGTATCTATGTATATAATCTTCATTTTATGTGTTTCTAATTTATACAAATTATTATTGATCTCTTAAATTAAGTAACAGGAATCACTCCAAGACATTGCTCAAAATACTGCTAGCATACTGTATCATCTTAAATTGTATAAATTATAAATTTCCCTGCTTCTCTTCAGTCCAGACTCCACTGTGTAAATGACAGTTTCAGACTATAATCAGCACATGTGTGGACATTTTCAGAGTCTGATGATTACTGGTCATTAGGCAGCTGCTACTGTGCACAAGCCAGTGATGAACCTGGGCAGCATTTTCCACATGCAGATTATCTAAAGAGAAATTTGCCAGGAAAAAGGAAAGTATGGGAAAGAAGCAAATACTGAAAGAACTGGAATGATGTTTGAATTGAATGTAAATGCTGTTACTCATTGATATGAATACTTATTTCAAGAACTAAATGGTGAAAGAACAGATTGGCCTCTTAATGCAGCAAGAAGCAAATGAGAAAGAGAATAAGATAATTATCAGTAAATGGGACAACAATTTTTATTAAAATTTATCTTAATGATAGAATAAATGGCAGATTAAAACTAAAGTTCATAAAAATTCCCAGTGCTAATGGGGTTTTATAGAAATGTAATAAACATTATTTCACTTAAAGAACTTTACAAAACAATATGGATGTTAGTGGTACCTGCAAATCTACATTTAAAAATAATACCTGTCTGGTATTTCTGATACAACATCATATACATTATTATTTAAGATAAAGAAAAATGTAAATATGCTCAGAATAATTCATTAATATGTTGCTGGATTCTGAAAGAAAATTAAACTATAAAATAATTAAAGAAAAAATGAGAATCACCATTATTAAGAAATTTGTTAATGTTCATTAATAAAAATAATACTCTTTAAAATTCATTGCAAATATAAAAACGTACTTTATAAGTAATAGTCCATTTTTTTATCTTTTAGAATAAATTTGATTAAAAGTTAACTAAAGTTAGGAGATATCATAATAGTTGCAGAATATATTGATCTCTGTTTCTCTCAACCCTCAACAAAGAAGCTTCTTCCTATAGTGAATATTAGTTAACACAGAGACTCACAAATAGACAGAGAATGAGAGACTTTGGGCACTAAGTCATAATCATGATATCTGTATCGCAACCCTTCTGTCAAAGCTCAGAGTTCTATGAGGAAGAGAGGTAAAAAGGTTGTAAAAGCTAATACACACACACACACACACACACACACACATACACACACAAACCCCCACAATCTAAGTTATAGGCTACAAAACAGGCTTTAACTGAGTATATGACTAAAATCAGCAGCAAGAGAAAGTGGTTGGCACTAAGAGGGAACAGTTTTGAAGACCATGGATCTTCTGAACATTTGAACAGAAAGAGGCTTCCATGCCCTTACCCACAGAGGCTGTCATCAGCCTAAGACTCAGAGCAGCTGGGTTTTGGGTCTCTTCTGGTGTGCCCATCATGATGCCCTGAGGAGTAGCATTTCTTTTCTGACACAGAAACCTCTGTTATATGCTCTTCCACTCTGCACTTGGTTCTTTGCTAAATAAAGCACTATTGATGAAGTACCCAAAATCTCATTATGATTCATCTAGTGACGATGGTCAGTACAGAGCTAACTTCTCTCCTTTAAACTGATGTAGAAATTAGTGTATTCTTGCACAGAGAACATGGAGCAAACAGGAGCCTCATACATTGACCTATGACAAAGAATGATAGATATTTTACATAGAAAAATGTGAACTGTACAATCACGTGTGATTGGTGCTAATGTTTCATCTGCCACCCCTCCTCAGTACTCAAAACACAGTGGTTATAATCTGAAGTCCTGAAGTTTTGTCTTCTGGGTCAATTGAGTAATATGTACATATCTTCAGATTTCCTTATTTAGAGACACAAAATCGAATAACCCAGCCTGGCCTCAAACTCCCTATGTAATCGAAAATGATTTCAAATTCTTGATAATCCTTTTGATCCCCTAAGTATAAATGTTACAGGTTCCAGCACCATGCTCAGTTCTTCAAATAATTCTCTAAAGCTTTGGTTTTTTTGATGAGATTTCTAGATACAGAAACATAGGTTTTCATAGTATACATGTGGTGTATACCCATCACCACATGTCGATTTTTGACATCATGGATTCTGTTTGACTGGTTAGACAATCTATATACAGGAAGCACAATCACTGAAACTGACATTTACAAGTTAGAATCATTTTTCAAAAATCTGTCTTCTTCATTCTTGCCACTCAGTGCAACTCAAGCACAAAATTAATGCCCAGAAACATTTGTTGAATGAATAAGAAAATGAAGTGGAACATGTAGGGAAAGACAAGATCTTGGCCCAGCACAGGGAAGTATGTTCTAAAAAACAATGAAATGAGAAAAAAAATGTCTTCTGTTTTAACAAATTTAAAAAAGTCAATATAGTCTTGGCCTATATAAGACAGAAAAAAAGGGGGGGTAAAGGGGAATAATCTGGAAGTATAAGCATCTTCAGCACTGTAAAACAGTATCAATGACTCTAAATTAGAATTTGATCCTGAAGTTAATAGGATTGAAATCAATTATTAAATGAAGATCCAACAAGATTGGCCTTTTCTTTTCTACAACCAGCATGGGTAATCTATATTGACGGGGCATGATGAGCTGACAGCTCAAGGCAATACTTCTGCAATTAAAGTGTGAGAGGCAGTGAGACTTGTTAGCACCGAAGGGGAGAGTGCATTAGAAAGGGAGAGAGGATTCTTGAGTGGGACTAACAGGGATTACTGTGTCTACCCCAGGCTCACAGGCACAGAGCACATTTACTTGTTTCTTTTATTAGGACAAACTGAAATTCTCAGTATGTAATAAAATCAAGACGCAGCTAGGTGCAGGTAAATGAGGAAAATCGGCAGAAGTCCTGATGGAAGACCTTCAAATGGATTGGGAAGCCATTTAACATTTTTAACCATTTTACAAACACCTTACTTAATAATGTTATAGGTTTGATGATTTTCAAAGTATGTGAAGAAATTATTCTGAAATGGTTAATACCTTAAAGTAATAACTGAATAGAAAAATAACGTACAGAAATAGGCATAGAAATAATTATATCCAGGATACTAGACAACACTATGACATACAAAAGACAGCATAGAGTATAGCCAGGTTTATTTAACAGGGCTCACATTGGGGTCTCACACTAGGGTCCCACATTAGAGTCCAGCAGTAGCTTTTCTTCTTGTAAAACAATCTTTGGGCATTACTAGATATATTAT